CTGAGGAAGGGACAGGTCGTCCCGAAAATTTGACAATTATTATTGTTCGTGTCGTTGGTCATTTTTAGTGCTTTATATATATATATATATATATATATATATATATATATATATATATATATATATATATATATATATATATATATATATATATAGTGTATATATATGTTTGATGAAGTAGATCATCATAAATCACGAATAAATAGCGCAATATTTTTTAAAGCTTGGGTTTATTTGGGAATTCATACGATATTAAATGTATCCCCCCCCCCCCCCCAAACACGTATCAAGTTGCATGAACTCTGTATATTTAAACTAATATAGCCTCTGAATGAAAGCATCTTATTTATAAGAATTTAAAAAAAAAATCAATTTACGGTCTTCAATTCTTATATATGATACAAAGTAAAATACTTTAATATAATTTAATATAATCCTTATTTTATTTAGGGAAATCTATTGAATAGTAATTAGGCGATATATGCTTAACCAATGTATAATTGAACCCTCACTCTGGATCCTGTCAGACATGTGTATAGAAAAAAAAAAGATTCCTCTGAAAATATCAGGACAGAAAGAAAGGTACATCAAATGATATCGATTTTAGCGAAAGAAAAAAATATAATATACAACATCCCTTTTCATATTTCTTTTTAGACTTTGATATTTTAATACAATTTATTTTAATCTTGTCGTTTAAAGTTATTTATGAAGAAAATAAAACGTTTGTTTTCCGTCTGTAAGGTATCATTTTATCCAGGAAAGTATTTTTTTCCAGAAAAAAAAACAACTACTGAATTGTAGTTTTATATAGAAGAGTCCCTTGTGCCAGACTATATGGAAGTCCTTGGGGTATCACAATATTTCTGCTTTGTTTGAAATAATTGTATTGTGGAACTTGACCAGCTCATTCAATACTGTTATCAACATATTGTCTGACGTCATGGCGTCAGACAGTATTAGATTTTGCCAAGGCTTGTTGGTCAAGTCGTTCAATAGAATTCTTGTGATAACTTGATCTTGGAAACTTCATACTATCTAAACTATTAATTGGCGAGCATGTGGAGTAAAGGAAACATGCTAAACACCCAAACAAGCCAGAGTATTGGAGCCGATGCCATTATTATCACATTATACATTACAGGTTACATAACATTTGGCCATTCTCGAAAATTGCATCATTCATGTCCAGCAAAAACAGAAGGAATGAAGCTGGTCAGGTCAACACTATCAGATAAACTACTGATTGGATGTTTATTTGCAATGCATGCACTATGTCCCTCTACCTTTAGAATTTTTATAAATCTACACATATTCATAACTAGCAGACGTTTGATTTATTCATAGTTTAAAAAAAAATATCAAAGTGAAGGATAAATGTTGAATATTCTTTTGCTTTGAATTAATTGCAAAGATATTAGCTCATTTGAAACATGTTTATTATTTTTAATAAGACATTTCTTAATTATCAAAATTGTTCACCAATTGATGTTTAGATTTTTATGTGTTGTAACTTTTTCTTTCAAAAGCACTGGTTATATCTTTCTATTCATAAACAGGCCCGTTGGAATAAATTCAGTTTCGGGTGGACACAATCAAGGAAAAATTCCTTATCGGACATAAAAAAAAAATTATCCAAAGTTAATATTTACATAATTCAGGGGAAACAAGCATAAAGTACCTATGTATAAATCCTCGAAATTATTGAGCTCACAACCCCCCCCCCCCCCCCCCGGTTCCTACGTCCATGAAAAAGAATTTAAAAATAATATAATGTATATAGAATAACGTCTCTGATAGAATAAATGCATGTCCAAGTTTCTGAATTGAACTTTTCTTGTTTCTTAGTGCTAATTCATTTCATGACTCTGAGTCATGTTGGTTACACTGGATTTAACTTTTCTTGATTCTTCGGGTAAAAATAAATTTGCTCAAGTCAGACAAGCTTTTTAGGAAAGCTAATACTTGTTAGTTATTATATTAGTATACAGTTAGGGTATATCATTGACTGAGGGAGATAGCAAGATTCCAGTTTTCCTCGACCAGGATTATTTCCCTCGGCCTCTTGCTAACTCCCTCTATGATATACATTTAAATTTATTATACCGATACAAATGCAAAATCTAGAGGATAACTAAGAATTAGCTTTCGACTTTTCACTTGACTAACACGGGCAAAGTATGGGAATTAGGCCATTCACAGCGATTACTAAGGAAGTATTCATATATAAACATGTAATTTTATAATACATGTATAGGGAAAATTCCGTAGAGGTATAATCCTACTGTTTTATTTACATCTGATTCAGTAAATTTTCTAATCCTCAAATCATGTTTGCAGATGTTAAGATGTAAAAACCAGTATACTAATAATTAAATCACTTAGACAAATCAGCGCAATGGGGAAAAACATAAAAGGCACATTAAAATTATGACTCTTTCACCATGAAAGTAAAGGACAGCTATAAAGGAAACAAAATGATTTACGACTCCCTGAAGGATGAGCTATTTATATTACGTAATACCAGGATCTCAATCGGTAACTGCTGATTTATAATTCATAATTGTAAGTCATATTAAAATAAAAAATTTTGTCATCCATGACACGTTTTTAAATTTGTAATTTGTTGATAAATGCAATTAACATATGGAAGCATTTTGTCGATGTAATTTTTTTTTATTGAACCCAAGAGGCATTATAAAAAAAATGAAAGTATAAATTGCTGTTTACAAGGCATGTATAAAAGTACTGAAAGTAGGAATTAGTTGAAATGATTAGAAGGTACGTTAGGGTTCAACATATGAATGATAATAAAGCATAAGAAACCACTGTCCAAGAAATTGATTAAGTTACACTTATATATACAATAAGAAAATAGTTGGGGTTAAATGATGGTCGGTAGTAAGTATTCTACCGGATGATCTTAGGCATTGGAAGGGGTTCGTCCGCCTCCCCTCTCTGTAAGCAACCTTCAATATGCTACTCCACTTATAATTTTTATCCAAATTTAATAAAACTTGGTACACCAGAGTTAGATAATTCTCTCTCTCTCTCTGTTTTGTTGAAGGTATGTCACTCAATTAAGTGGACGTCTTGGGTCAAAAATAATACCTTGCATGTTTTATTTAATTAAGTGTTCGTTCGTTTATTTATTGATCGGGGGGGGGGGGGGGGGAGGGGGGGTTTACCGCTATGTCTATTAGTCCTAATGTTAGCTGTTCAAATGTTTCTCCTGTGAATTGCATATATACGGAAGCAATTCAAGGTTGTACATGTATGTATATTTACATCCACTGAATATTTTCTCCTTATTTTCTAAAGAAAACCGTTGCCGTTTATCACTTCATGAACAGCACTAGGCATATCACCTGTATAGATTTCTTGATCAGTGGCTTTTCCATCAATGAAACGTACTACATGACGAACATATCAAATAATACAGTAATCAATCTTTTTATCTCACTTTAAATGATTATTTATACAGATATAAATATAAACAATAAAATGTCTTTCTTTGATTGTTAGTTCGGGAATTAACGTTATGTATTTTTTCTGCAACAGCTGCGACATTAATTCCCGTACTAACAACCAAAGAAAGCATTTTATTGTTTAAATATATTAATAAGATGATCTATAACAATGAAGAGCAATATTCCGGTACATAAAGCTGTCCTTATCGTTTTATCCTTTCCGGAAATCCTTATAACCTCTCTAGGGAAAACAAACAAACAGACAATTGATTGAAAGAACATCGATGTGTTTTATAGATCTATATATTAAATTGAATTTCATAAATTTACATTTATGCAGACTGATAGGCGTGGAATCTGGAGTTAAGTGATGAATATGTTATCATTTGGTTATTCATCTATGTCAGTCCTTGTTACTGTAATTTGTTTAGATCATTAATTAGCATTATCAGCGACAGCACTTAAGAATGTGACCGTTTTGCAAATGTTTTGGTGCGAATTCTGAAAGAAAAATTTTTGTGTGTAATATTTTGAATGGTGCCAACCTGTTTCAGTTTTAAATCTATTCCTGTACACAGATTGAACAAGTAGGAAGTCATTTCAGTTGGTTAGGGTGGGGATGGGGGACGGGCACAACAAAACAGAAAATACTTAACCCCCCGCCCCCCCCCCCCCCAAAAGTCATATAAGTTGGCAAATTAATTCTCCCTCTCCATTTGGGTAGTAGAGCGTGCAGAACAAAACAATAGCAAATTTGTACATTATTCCAATGTTTTCAATGTAAATACTTTACTGTATATAATCATTGATATAAAAGTGTGTCTATCCCTTAAGGAGGCTGGGGGGTCAACAAATTAACCATCAGATATAACTTTATTTGTTAGATATGATATCTTAAGCTGTCAACTATCATTTGGCAAAGAAAAATTTCATACATTTTAGTTTTAAAATTTGATCATTTCTGTATATCTTTATATGGAGCTCTTCTTCTAAAGGAGATCAATATAGTCTGAAAATGGTCACAACCACCCAGCCCTCTTAAGTTATATACAGTAGTACTTCCTAAAACAGCTTTCTTTAATTAAAAAAAACCCCCATATTTACAGCCACAAGAATTGTTTTAAAAATACATTCCAAATGCCTTCACAGTCGTCATTACTAGTTCATAAATAATCTGGCTGCAAAAAGAAAAAAAAAAATCAGTGAAGACAAGTCGTAATGTCTATGTAAGGATCTGAGAAAGTGCTTCATGGTTTCTTGCTGTGTGATCATATGACAATATTTCATGTAGGTTTCAGGAACTTATTTTATTGAAATGATCGAAAGAACCTGTAGTCTGCATAATAAAATTTCCCGCTGAATGTCGAAATTTTAGCATTTGTATTTTTATTCTTTCTTATTTCATTATTATTCTTCCCGTAGTCTTGTGGCTAAGATATGATGGGAAAATCCGGAAATGTATGATCAAACGGTTTCAGTTTTTACAGTTACTGACATGCATGTATTTCCCGCGAGATTTTCCATATTTTAAAGTAAACGATTAAGCCTATTTCCAATAAGTTTTTTTTCCCCAGATTTTAAGATGACTGCAAACATTGTGAATGAGAAACAACAGATCGTAAATAGATGGATTTTAGAATATACATTTTCGTTGGTGTGGAAGGATTTTGTGGAATGTGGATCTGTTGACCGTAAAAACAACAGGGATCTTATTCAATGTAATACACTGCATGGGACTGCGTTGTCTTTTAATCTCAGATTTTGCATGAAGAAGCCTGGTATCTTTATTTATATGTCTGTTAAAAGTACACAGCTATTTTTATAAAGTTATTTGCGTAACCTGTTAGACAACCATTCTCCTGGAACACGTGTGTAGCAGCTGCTTATTATAATACTAGTGCTCAGAAAATGAGCTTGATTTATGCTGCGTTTTATTAGAATTGAATTCAAAATAACAAATTTTTAGGTGACTTGCGTTTAACACAGTTTTACAGCCCCGACCAGGAAAATTACCTTTTCTTAGTTTAATATATTTCAGCAAAACATGCACAGGGCTTAACGGACTCTGTTACAGGGTCCAGTAATTTTAATGGGTGTGTCGATTTACCCAGATGGACCCAAATGGAACCCAAATGAACCCAAATGGAAATTAAATGGACCCAAATGGAATATTAAAGATGTATTGTCATATTCTCAAGTTGTTACTTATTTAAAATGATGAAAATAATGAACTTACAAATGGAGAATATTAATTATTCATTTCTAATATCGTATTTTAAAATACGAATTAATCTTTTTTTCTATTTGTAATAACTTATGCGTATTATTGAATACGAAATGGAAGTATTTCATTTGAAAGTTTATATAGTTTTCATGGCTGTAGGAACTGGGGGGGGGGGGGCATGTGCCCCCCCCTAATTTTGCAGATATATAGAAAACTAAAGAAAATTAATTCGTTTTTAAAATAAAATATCATAAATGAATAATTAATATTCTCCATTTGTAAGTTCATTATTTTCATCATTTTTAAATAAATAACAACTTGATACTACGAAAATATATATTTAATATTACATTACCTTAAGAGATGGAGACGGCATTATAAGTTTTAAGGGTAGCCAGACATCTCAGCCCACAGGGATAGACATTAATTTTCAGATTCACTGGCCCTTCGGGCAAGCGAACTCAAACTTTGACTTGTCCGAATGCAGAATTTGGATGCCCAAAATTTAGAAAGAAGAGAAAATATCAGTGTTTTGTGAATTTTGATTTTTTTTCCCTGACAAACTTAAGATACGCTAAAGGAAAACAGTTGCTATGTTTCGAAACACACATGGTCTGATCAGGATACATTGTGCGCAGAGAAATTAGTGTTCTTTATATTCTGTGAGTGGATAAATAAACTATTCTGTAATATCTTATTTCATAATAAAAATGTAAAATTAAGCTGTGGGATGGAAAGCTTATTTTTGTCAACTAGCACGGAAGAAAAATGGAATAACGACCAAATTTTTGAATAAACGGTATCATCTAGAAACGCTACTGAGGAATTTAAACTCTGAATGCAAAAACAATGCCATATCCTGGTAGAAATCAAATGTTCAATTTATTGTTTTGTTTATATATTTAAGTAAGACAAAAAATCTATCAGAAATATTCACTTGCCCGATCGGACAAGTACATGAGCAGTTTCACATGCCCTAACTGAAAATTTACTTGCCCCGGGCAATCGGACAACAGTTAATGTTGATCCCTGGCCCAACAACACCTCAGCCAATCACACATGGCCCAAACGTTGCCAATTTAAAAGACACCTTGGCCCAATATAATTTTATGAGGGACAGTGATTGGTTGGCCCAAGCACTGTATCACTTCCTGTCTTAGCATCACTTCTGACTTGCACTCAACATGCTCAATGCACAAATCTATAAGTATAAATTAAAGGAGACATAAATACTTGACATAATATCTCAAAAATTAATTTTCAATGATAATATCAATAAATATTGTTATTAATATTTCTTAAGCAGAATATAAAATTTAAAATGATTTGTACCATACAATTTCCTATCCTTCAGAAAAAGTTCATTTCCTACAACTCTAAGTGAAGGATGTTGTACATCAATTCCTAATTACTAATGTAGAGTATTATTAAAAGTTTTGTTCAGAAAGTTTATATTAATATGATCAATTGAAAAAAATACAAAGATGGGATATCAGACATTTTTTTCTATCAAATAAACACATTTTTTAAAAAAAAAACTTTAATTTTTTTATGCAATAAGAAGACAGAATGGAATAGACTTCTGAAAGTTTAATTATCTGCTTTGACAATTAATTGCATCCTTTTTTTAGGGATTCTTGGCCAGCAGGTCTTCGAAGAACCCGAGGAGCTATGGCAGATCTATATCCTTTCTCTCCTGTGTCGTTTGGTGGATGGAGAGACGTATGAAACAAAGTATGAAGCAGGAAGCAATCTGACTGTACTTGAGGATGCTGCTGGAATTCTGGAGACCTTTTTGAAAGACATCCCCCAGTCCCTCCAAAAGGAGGGTCATGATTTTCTAGACACACTCAAACAACAGGTACTAGCAGAATAATTCACTATTATATAATCAAAGTATATACCTGTTAGCCCTTTCTTTTGTTAAATGTGACAAGAAAAACAGTAAAAATAACAATAGATTAATCACATGCAAGACATAAACAGTTTTTAATATACATGTACTGAAGTCAAAAGGGAGGGGAAAAAAAACTTTCTCATAACGACCTCATTTACATTTAGAAAGTGAATATACATGTACTGTAAACATATTACATTTGGCTGTGTATTCTTTTTAGCACCGTTGGCGTAAAGAAGTTCAAATACAATGCTAAATGTCTTGCACATATATACATGAATAAGAACATTGAGAAATGCGCAAAATCAAATCTAAACTAACTTGTTCAAAAATCAAACTAAATGTTTTGCATGCTAAATATAATACATTTACAGTAGTCATAAAGAAGTTCCTTTTAATTTGTCCTTGATAAAACACACATGAAGACTGAATTTGTGTGTCTTATTTAATCTTGCATCATTATCAGTTGTTGACAAACATTGTTTGCAGTGTAAAGAATCCATTTTTACTTGCATTTTCAAAAGCTACTTTGGAATGTTTCAGGCTGTATACGTTTGCTGCAGAGATGACAATTTTGAAGCAGCAAAAGAGGTTTATGCTCGTCAGTTTTCTGAGATTAGTAGCGAAAGAAGTCAACAGGAAAATAAAGAGGTTGTATCTTCCGTATTACTGTGTATATTTTGTGATAGCACATATGAGCAAATCTAAAACCCCTGTCACACGAGAGCTGCAATTTTGTGGCATCCATGAAAAAAGCAGAATGCTGAGGAATGCTCAGTAGAGTCTCCTACAGAGCAGCAAGAACTGGAAGGGGCGTCCAAGTGATGTCGTTGGGTCGCCTAGAATGCCATTCGACAGGTCATGCATTTTGAGCATGCACAAAGTATGGGCCATGGCTGTACATTCAGATATACATGCAGTAGGAACCTGAAGGGTCACTGTAACAGCTTGGTAATGTCTCCAATGGTGATGGTGCTTGCACAGAGACCTCTCAGAGTCCTTTGAGATGTCACTGTGTTGAGAAACGTCTTGTGCATGCAGTCAGCATATTATATGGGTATGCTGTAAATGTGAAGTGAAAACTCCTAGCACATCATGAGCACTCAGTGGAAGGGCAGTCATTCACCAGTTAGAACTTTGCAGGAATGTAGTAGCACACTGCATGAGTTCCATAGAAATGTCTTGGTCACCCACAGGATGCTGTGACATCTTTATCTCAAGAAAATTTCATTGAATTTTACAGATATTTCATTGAGAAATCCCAGAAATTTAATGCCATGATACAGACTCTGTGGAAAGGCAGCCCTGGTGTGACAGGGGCTTAAAGCGCTGATTTTTGTATCAAATGCAAAGCAAAATAATACTTTAAAATCACTTTGTTATTTCATCTATTTATCCTTTTTTAAGTTCATTGCTATGTAAAGTACTTGTGCTTAGTTATTCATTTGTTATTCGTAAACATATGAGAAAAGCAGAAACACAAGAAAACCAAACTTTAAAAATGGAACATTTTAATTCTCATCTTATTAATATCATAACTTAATATAAATTTCATATAAAAATATTGACACATGTATATTTATGTCAAGTTTTGGGGAAAAAAAATGAAAAAGTTAAAACGCAGATATTTTATGAGGAGAACCAATTAACTGTTTCTTTAGAATTTATTCACTTACACCTCACCTCCTGAGTCATTTAATAATTTTCCACATGCACCAGTCATTTTTTTGGGGTCTCTTCAGAATTTAACTTTTTTCTTACACTAGGATAGATACTGTATTTGACAACATATTTTAGTGTAGAAGTGGCATACATGTATATGAAAACACATTTTACATTCTGTAGGAAATACATCCTTCAAAAATGCTAGAATGATGTCACATTGTGAAAAGGTTTTATAAATCCAAAACAGTGTCTGCCCCACTTAATCATGAGTTTATTAATTTCCATTGGATTACACTTATTCCTTCTCTTGGACGTATAACTTGGTTGTCATGTCCTTTTCTTTTTATTTAATTTCCCTGCAGATATATCAAGTCTTCTGTTTGTTATTTTCTAGAGCTGGACTTTTAAAGAGGCAAAAAATTTGATTATCCCAAGTCAAGCCAGTCTGTGTTGTGTCATAAGGAGTGTCCATCTTGTTGGTCTTCATTAATTTACCACTTTGGTATCTCTTCTGTTATGATCATGATTAAGAATTTCTGGCTGTCTGACTGGTAATTGATCATCTTCCAAATTGGAAACATTGATTTTCTGTACATCATGGAAGTATTATTTAGATACTGGTAATATTTTTTCACAACAAGGATGAATTTTTCAATAGTATTGAAGCAGAAGTACTCCAAGTACTCAAGCAGAGCTCCATTGACTAACTGCTCCCACTCCGATAGCTCAGATAGAATAATGTGTTAATTTCTCCTGTCCACAGTTATCCTCCCTTTTAGAAAATTCTAGATTTGATGCTTGGTTTATATAACCTAGACTGATGACATCACAAAATTTCTGTTGAATTATGAAACTGTTTTTTAACCATCTTCATTAAGGAGAAGAATTAGACAGAGTGGTTTTGACTGACTGCTCCCAGTAATCAGAAACTTGATAAAAAAAAATATTTATGAAAAATTGTATGTATTTTTTTTATTACTTGATATTAAAAAAGCAACTGAAATATAGGTTGCTCCGAGTTAAAAAAAAAACATAACAGAAGAATAAAACAACTGCACTGAAACAATTAAATGTCAGTAAATTATCCTATCCAGGAGGTGGTGACCTCAAAAAGTAGGGAGAAATTAAGAGAGGTCAGATTTTTATGTAATATATGAAACAAGATTGACTTTTCAGACCTATGTTCTTAAATGGAATATCAGAATACAATTATTGCCATTTTTGAGGTCAATACAATGATTAAGCAACCCAAGCTGAAGGATGGATTATTTACAAAGCCTTAATAATATGGTGTAAATTGTACTTAAAGGGGTTGCTAAATCATATTGTTAAAAAAGCAGTAATTGTTTAATTTTATGATTCAATGATTAAATGATGCAAACTTTTAAGTTAAACCTGGTTTTTCAAAACTTTATATCAACTAAATTTTTTTTTTCATTTGAATAACTGAAACAACTCATAAGTCATAACTAACTAAAAAGCCCATATAACATGTATAAGACATACCTTTTATGCTTTTTTTCATACAGTGTGCCTCGGAGTACATACCTCTTCAAATTCAACAGCCAGATTTAAACACAAAGAAGTATAATCTCATATTTTATTCAGTTATGCACCAAAACATATTAGATTATAATTTAGGAAAATCAAAAGTATTCACTTGTTAAGGGAATTTTTGAAGATTTTGAGCAAAAGACAAACAAATCTGCTCAGTTTCCCCAGAGAAAAATCACTAAATACCTAAATTTTGAAATTTTTCAAAAATCTAAATTGTGTACATGCTATTTATTCTTTTAAAATATTTAGAATTATAAGAGAAACAAAAGCACATATCTTATTATATTTGACCACTTAGATTTTGCATAACAGTCTCCTGAACATGTATAATACATGTATCAAGTTTTACAATAATTCTTAGCAATTAAACTGAGAAAAAAGTAGAAGTGAAAAGCAGGTATAGTCTTAAAATCAAGAAAAAACAAACATAAGACTGCGTTGATCTGTTTGCACAGGAAGTACACACAATTATCATTTTCATTACATGAAATCACAGACACTTGCCATGCTTATATATTGTTGCACAGACTTTCCTCTCTAGTCTTTCTAGCTGATGAAGTTGTGATGCTTTTGCAAATTTTCCTTTTTTGGTCTTGTCATAGTTGTATTATTATTATCTCAGAAATAATGTGTCTTTGCAGGGTTCGAAATTCACTATATACAACTCGCAAAACGCGAGTTAGAATTCTCAAATTGCGAGTTAAAATTTAGGTAACTCGCAAAGACTTGCGAGCTGATTTTTTTTTTTTTTTTTTTTTTTTGCATTGAAACTGTAGCAAAATTAAATAATATGATAGAACAAATTGCTTCTGATTTAAATCAGTAATTTAAATAAAAGTCACACTGTTGTTGTATTTTGTGTATTTACAGTAGTAACTTTTTCCTTATTAAAGTTACATGTATTTAATTTATATAAATTTAACTTTATTTGAAAATTGCGAGTAGTCTTATAAAATCGCGAGTTCACTTTCTTGGTACTCGCAATTATTTGCGAGTTGTAATTTTAGGGAGTTTCTAACCCTGCTTTGAATATTTCAACAGATGGAGTGATGACTAGAAGTTTATAGTAGGTGTATAAAATTAAAACCTGACCCCAGGATCATGAAACAGACTTAGACTTAAGTCAAATTTTCAATCACCTGTAAAATGTTGATTAATTATTGAATTAATCTCCAATTTGCAGATAATAACACTTTTGTAAAGTAATATTGAAAATTGTTTTAAGTTTGGTCTGCTTGACTTCTGCAACATTTTAATATGACATAAAGATTTTGACTTAAGCTTGATATGCTTCATGATCCCGGGGCCAGATGCGTAAATTAAAGTATGGCCTTTCCTTTAATAAGCAAACCTTGCCATTTTTTTTGGGTTTTGCTGATGTCATATGCAGATACTAGTGACTGGGAAAGACACTGGATTTCACTTGGCAAGAAAAATAAACATTAAATCATGTCAATCTGGAAGTTCCCAATTCTATATTTGGTCCAAAGTAGATAAAAAATAAAATGTTATGTTCACCTTGAAGGTTGGGTGAAGGTGAATATAACCTTATTTGATTTCTTATTTCTAAAATATTGGATTTCATCCATTAAGACTAGACATAAAACAGACAATTTTAGCATGTTGAGGAAAGTAAAGTTGTTAATGTCCTTTATAAATGCATTGTGGTTGAAATAAGTATGCTAATCTCTTTCAGAATAACAATAGAGAAATCCAGAAGCTGCTAAAATCAGAAAACCCCAAACACAGTACACTTAATACACACAGATATACAGACTTCCTTCATAAAGCTCAGAAATTCCTCAAACACTTCATCAAAACAGATGAGCCAGTATTGTTGCAGGTAAACTTAAGTGTAGTTAGCTTGATGCTTGAATTTGCATTTATATGTCTAAGGGTGCATTATTTGAAAGTCTTAAAAATACAGAGGACATTTAGATTACATCCTGTCAGTAGATATATGTATTTTGGAAGAGAGATCATAAAAAGGTACTGTTAACATGGTGAGGGGGGAAAATTACATTATTTGGAAGTGACAGAAATCTTCATTGCAAAACAAAACATATTTATTGCAGTGCACAAAACAGGATATGTCATGGAAATGTTTGTACATGTATATTTGATTTCCTTATGTTTTTTATTATGTTATCTACATAAACCATTTTTATACACCCTATTTACATGTCTGTGTGTATGATGAGATGTATAATGGTATGGTGTACATGTCCATCCATCTCTGTTCGTCAGTACTACGAGGCATAGAATCAAACTTTGTCAGACGATGCATCTTGGTTACCTAGAAGATGTGTCACACATTAAAGTTAGGTCTCTGTGACCAAAAATGGCAAAATCCTGTCCACATGGCCTAGAATCATCAAACTTGGATAGTTAATGCACCCTACATTAAAACCAATGTGACCTTAATTAATTAATGTTTTAAGGGAGGTAATCCCTACAAATTAAGAGTAATATGTTAAACTTATACAAATATGTTACATCAAGATATACACATATTTAGTTTACCTGAACTGAAAGCTCAAGTGAGCTTTTCGAATCACAATTTGTCTAGCTTCTGTCTGTCGGTCCATCAGTCAGAAAACTTTTAACAATTTGGACTTCTTCTCAAAGACCACTAGGCCATTTTCAACCAAACTTGCCACAGAGCATCCTTGGATGAAGGGGATTCAAATTTGTTCAGTGAAGGGCCACATCCCCGTTCAAAGGGGGATAATCATTAAGAATTAGAAATTTAATAGCATCTTTCAAAAATCTTGTCAAGAACCACTGGGCCAGAAAAGTTGAAACTTGCATGAAAGTATTCTCAGGTAGTGTAGATTCATTTTCTTCAAATCATGACCTTTGAGGGTAGGGTGGAGCCACAATAGGGGATCAAAGTTTTATAAAGGAACATACAGGAAAAATCTTTAAAAATGAATTTGATATAAAGTTGTTAAAATTATTTGATATTGTATAATATATTTCTATTTTTTGTATCACAATAACCAATTGTTGAGTGTCATGTCTCACCAAGGTGACATATGGTTGCAAAAGTTGAACTTCGGTATCTTGAATATTGACATCTTGAATACCATGGATATGTCAAAGTGACTTTCTAAGTATTTTGCCCTCAATATCTCAAATCCTCAGATATCTCAAAGTTTTTTCCCAGTCCCATCAAGTTCGAGGACCTGAGATTTGACTGTATTTTGTTTTGCTCTAGCTATACATTCCACTTTCATTTCCTAACCATGAAGCAGCATTCCAGGAGTTTTGTCTAGCAGGTTAAAACAATTTACTAGTATATCTTTTCCAAAGCTCAAAGAACAATCTTTTTTCACTTTTTTCCCCTCATCAAGATTGCCATAGATCCTGCAACATATTTTCCACTATGAATTTTGTTTTTTACTTTGCATATTAATATTTGAGTTTTTACCAATATGCTTACACATCTTTGAAAGGATATATTTTTTTTTCAGATGGCACACAAGAAATGGAAACCACAGGCAAAAGGGATGACAAATGGGCATGACAAATTTAAAGACAAGTAAACGGACATACTGTCACAATCTTATCACCTCTAACAAATGTCCTCAGTTTGGCAAAGACAAGTAAACAGACATACTGCCACAATCTTATCACCTCTAACAAATGTCCTCAGTTTGGCAAAGACAAGTAAACAGACATACTGCCACAATCTTATCACCTCTAACAAATGTCCTCAGTTTACTTTGGCAAAGACAAGTAAACAGATATACTGCCACAATCTTATCACCTCTGACAAATGTCCTCAGTTGACTTTGGCAAAGAAAAGTAAACAGACGTTACTTTCACAATCTTATCACCTCAAACAAATGTCCTCAGTTGACTTTGGCAAAGACAAGTAAACAGATATACTGTCACAATCTTATCACCTCTAACAAATGTCCTCAGTTTACTTCAACAAGATAAGTTCACAGATATCCTACAACACCTGTAACAAATGTTATCTGTTTTATACTTTGACCAGACAGAGTGTTGTTGCTGTTGTTGTTGTAAATGATTCACATTTTCATATTCTTCTCCAGAACCACTGTGTTAATTTCAACAAAACTTGTAAGTAAACTTAGCATCCTTGGGTGGAGAAGAATTAAATGAAGGGCTAACCTCTCATTCAAGGGGAGATAATTAAGAATTATTGGAAATTTTATGGCATTTTTAAAAAGAAAAAAATCTCAGAACCACTGGACCAGAAAAGATGGAACATATGTGAAAGCAAGCTTCATTACATAGTGTAGATTCAAATTGAAATCGAATCATGACCTCACAAATGGGCCACAATGGGCTGTCAAAGTTTTACATAGGAATATATTGGAAAAATCTTCTTCTCAAGAATTGCAAAGCCGTGATTAGTCATATTTTCATTATGTTTATGAAAGCATCTTCAGGTAGTGTAGATTTAAGTTTGTTCAAATCATGTACCTCAAGGGTAGAGTTGGGTCACAATGGTTGATCATTGTTTAATAGCAGTGTATAGGAAAAATCTTTTAAAAAAAAAAAAAAGAACAGCAAAGCCATTGTCATATTAACATGAAAACAATACATCCTCAGGTGATATAGATTTAAGTTTATTCAAATCATGATCCCCGGGGATAGGGTGGGGCCACAATTTTGCAATCAAAGTTTTACATAGGAATATGTAGGGAAAAATCTTCTTTTTTCAAGAACAGCAAAGCAATGATAGGTCATTTGGAAGCATCCTTAAGACACAGTAAGTAGTGTAGATTCAAGTTTCTTCAGGGACCACAATGGGCTGTCAATGTTTTACATAGAAATATATGGGGAATATCTGCTGATGAAGAACAGCTGCAGGCCACAGTGACTAAAAGGCCCTTGGACCGCTTTTAGCTAATCTGAGCTGAAGGCTCAATTGAGCTCCGATTGAAGAGTGACTGATGTCCATCTGTCTGTCTGTCAACCAAACTTACCACAAAGCATTCTTTGGGTAAAGTGGATTGAAGTTTGTTCAAATGAAGGGGCACATCCTTTTTCAAGGGGAGATAATTAAGAAATAGTGAAAATTTGGTTGGGTCATTTAAAAATACTCAAGAGACACTGGGTCAGAAAATATGAAACTCATACGAAAGATTTCTGACAGTGTAGATTTAAGTTTGTTCAAATCATTGCCCCAGTGGGATATGGTGAATCCACAATAGCAGATCAAAGTTTTGGAAAATAGTGAAAAAAAAGTCTTTCGAAGAATAGCTAGGCCACATTAGATTGTATTCAAGTGTAAACATTCCCAAATTGTGTGGATTCAATTTTTTTCCCCTCCAAATTATTGACCCAGGGGCAAGGCTAGGGCTAAAAATGCTTACCTGATGCATGTATACAGGAAAAAGAAATTTTCTTCTCCAGAACAGCAAGGCCATATGCATGTTATTCACATTGATAATGAAACATGCCTAGGATGTTTGAATTCACATTGGTTATGTCAAGTGATGTTCCAATCATCGATTATAATCGAAAATCAGTCGATTGCTGGCAAAATTCAAGCGCTCGATTACAAAATTTTTATTCCGATTAATTGGTTTATTTTTTATATTACAAGTGTAATAGTTTTTAAGCTGAATATTCCAGCCGCAGCTTATCTATTAACCTATTTGTGTATCGTAATGGTGCAGATGAACAGACAATTGTATCCATACCCAGGTAACAAAGCACGTTCCCAGGTATGGATGTACTTTGAGTTCTATAAAGTGAACAAAGGACCAGCTGGACCTCCACAGAAAGTAGTCATTTACCCATTCTTACCAATTAATTAACTAAATTATTAGACTTTGTAAATGTCAATAATTAGTTAGTTACAGTAGCCTGATCATCGATTCTGAAATTCTTACCAATTCCCATCACTAGCTATGTCATTTCAGCATTTTTCATATGACTAAAGAGGGGGAAATTTTATTTTAAATCTGATGAAGAATAGCAGAGCTAAGGTGACTCAAGTGAGCATTGTGGCCCATGGGCCTCTTTTTCGGGGATATTATCATTTGAATAAACTAACTGCAGAGTGCTTACATGTTCATACTTGTACAGTATGTCAATTAACATGGAATTTATTTAATAGACTATTAGACTACAGAAGTAATGGCAGTTTGTCTTAAAAACTGTGCCCAAGCTGCTTAAGTTTAACAGTACTTGTATAAACAACAAATTAAATATTTTTTTCTGTCATTGATATTAATATTTGTATGAACTTAGCAATATTCTTCATGTTGCTTGTTTTTTTTTTATTTAGGTTTGTTAATTTAGAATCATTAACAAAAGTGTGTGAAACCATGGGCGAACCAAAGGAAAGGAGTTGGCCAAACTTCATGGAACAGAGGGATTTAAAAGAACACATACAGAGGGTAATAATATGAAGGTTTTGGTTCTTCTTTAATCAAAGTTTTTTGCTTCAAGTTCTACTTGTATGGAAAGGAAAATGTGTAATTACTATTTACTAAATAGATTGTTATGTGTGCCTTGAGAAAGATATTATATAACTTATTTTAAACCTGATGGACAAAGTCCTTGAATGCTGCTTCATGTTATCAGTCTCCTACTGGTAAAACTGGAAGGGACTATAAGTTTCCTCTGAGTCTGTCCATTCGTCTGTCTAGCTGTCAGTCTGTCCCACTTGGTTTTCTGCACTTTTTTCTGAACGCTTGCAGATATTGAGCTGATTTTTGGTATGTGTGTGTATTTTGATGAGTTACAGATCAGATTTGCATTTCGTTCCGCTTCAGTGATTTTTGACAGAATTACGACCTTTTTAATTTCTAAGTGTTTTCCGCATTTTTTTTTTTTTCGCAACGCTTTGCAGATATTGAGCTGATTTTTGGTATGAGACTTTATCTTGATGAGTTATAGGTCAAGTTTGCATTTCAGTCCGCTTCATCGATTTTTCGCGGAATTATGGCATTTTCAATTTTAACCGGAACCAGATTACACTTGCCAGTAGGAGACTAGTATTACTAATTCAATACTCTCAGAATGCTTGATATCATTTATTTAAAATGTGGCGGATTGTTAAAACTGATTGTTGTAAGATTTAAGGACTGGTCCCCAGGCCCCAGTCAAAACTGATTCACTGACGTGCTAAATAATGATTATTCTTAACACTCTTTAGCTCAGCTGAGCCAAGGACTCAAGCAAGTTTTTCTGTTCGAAGGGTATCTGACATCTGTCTTTCTGACGTCTGTAAACTTTATATATTTTCATATTCTTCCCAGAATCACGGGACTTATTTCAACCAAACTTGCCATATAGCATTCTTGGATGAAGGGGATTCAGATTTATTCAAATATAGGACCATGCTCTCTTTCAAGGGGAGATAATTATAATAAGGATTTGTGAAAATTCAATGGCTTCTTCTTACGAAACACTGGACCAGAAAAGACAAATCTTAGTGAAAGCTTCCATAATGTTAGTTCAAATCATGGTCCTATGGGTAGGGTGGGGCCACAATAGGGATCAAAGTTTTACATGGGGATGTATAAAAAGGAAAAAAAATCTTCTCAAGAACATCAAAGTTTAATTAGGTATATTGATGTAGAGGCATCCTCAAGTAGTTATAAAGATTCATGTTTCTTTAAATCTAGGACCCTGCAGGGTTAGGAAGTGGCCACATATAGGGGAACATAGTTTTACACAGGGATAATCCGATATATAGAAAAGATATTTGAAAGTCTTTTCAAGAACAGCATGGCCATTACAGTTATTAATGTACATCTAACAAGCATCTTCAAGAAGTGCCGATTCAGTTTTTTTCCAATCATATTGTTCAGGAGTATGGTGGGGCCACAAAAGTGGATCAAATTTTTACATAGGAATATATAGAAATTTAAAAAAAAAATCTTGAGAACAGCAAAGCCATGAGCCATGATTACTGATATTTATATGGTAGTGCAGATTCATGTTTGTTCCACTCATTGCCCGAGAGGGTAGGGGATCAAAGTTGTACTAGGAAAGAGTTTTACTTGAATACTTAGTCATTTCTCTCTCCCCCTTCCTGTTTTCTATGAAAAATATTGGTTCATTAATTTTTTTTCCCCCATCCCCTTATTTATGATGACAATCTATAAATAGAATTTTTAACATTGATTTTTATGGCCTTATTAAAGCACAATAAAACAATAGTTAAGCCTATGTATATGTATTATAATTAAAATACCTTTCTATTTGCATTTTAGGTGAATACAGAAAAAACAGATCAGGTCAATTCAAATGACAATGCCAATACAGGTAACAGAAAATTAGATATTTTAAATTTTGAAGTGTGAATGGAAATATTTTGTACATGTATAAATCCAGTATAAATTAATTGAAAAAGAAGCAAATTTAGCTGAATTAATTGGAAATTTTCTTTTCATAGCATCAACAAACGGCTCAAGTCCTTTAAAGTAAGTGCTTCACTCTGAAAAACGCATAAACTAATCTGTTCATTCTGAAAACTGCAGTGCAGTTGTAATGTTCAAACTTCCGTTTTATAATAATTTTATTTAGTGACAATGGTAGGATGAACTGTGCATACTTCACCTGTAGGAATTTTATGACTGCTAAATGCATCCTACATATATAGATTTATTTCTATTTCAGGAGGAAAAGTGGTGAAATTTCAGATTCACAGGGAAACAGTTCATTGGCAACGAGGATACGAACAAACACAAACATGAACCCCAGAGTAATTCTGAATGCCAAGCTTCCCAAGTTACATGTACCTAGCCCAGCCAGGTCTGTACCTAAGGCCACGTCTTCACCTGGGAAGTTACGGAAACCCTGGCTGGAGGCTGAAGTGAATGACTTCTATCAGGGGGTACAGATTTTTGGTGTGGGAAACTGGAGTCAAATAAGGGATGCCATGAAAACCTCCAGAACCAATGTTCAGCTCAAGGATAAATGGAGAACAATTCTCAAAACAGGAGAAATTAAAAGGCTGGAGAAAGAATTTGGAGACTTGAAATCAAGAAAGGGAAAAAAATGAGACTGCAAATGGTTAATGTGGATCCTAGATTTGTATCAATATTATTAGTACATGTATCTGTTGTGCAAGTGAGCAATCTTTTACTGTTTCATAACTTTTATCTATATAATTTTATCCTTAAACAGGTATTTTAAAAAACAAACAATTTTAAAAACTTTTTTTGAGGCTAATGTTTTATTTCCACAATGGAGTTCATTGCAAGTACTTGTATAATACATCTCAAATTAAATTTCATTGTATTTGTAAACAGAAAAACAAGTCTGTAGGATACAAGTATTCAAAGAAAATAGTCAAAAGAACTGTTTTAAAGATGAAGATAACATTTACAAGAAAGCAAAATATTTATTAAATTCAAACATTTGTTCAGACAGTAATATATGTACGATTAAAAAGATTGTAAGGAAATTATCATCTATTGTAAACGTTCATTTCAGATCAGCATACTTTTTAAAGTATATGATAGAGTTGAATGTGGATTTTCGTCATATACTAATCACAGGAAAGCATTTTGGAAATGCAATATACTGTATATGATTGCGTATTAAATTGAAATTACATGCCATCTAACCCTATGCATTTTTTTTGCAAATTATTTCAACACAGTGAAATCATACCACAAAAACTTTCATAATGGTGTTGTAATGGCACAAGATGCTCTGTAATCAATGGTGTGATCTTGTGATGGGTCACAATGATCCATCTTAATGGATATGGTTTAGTACACTTATGTTAATGCACTGTGATGGGGCATGGTGATCCCTGACATATATAAATCATAATAATTGGTCAAGATGTCCATCATAATTCTTAAGTTGGTTCAAGATACCTCTTTGTATCAGTGTACAAGTAAAGTGTAAAGATTCTCCGTTGAATATTTATTTTTTCCTCTGGCTTCTCCAAAAAAAAAAAAAACAACTGTTTATTGGTACATTTAAATACATTATATTTTTCACATTTGATGTGACGAGTAATGGAGAGTTATATAATTATTTTCCCATGATCAAGGGTTAAAATAAAAGTTTTTCCCCTTTTTGGGGATAAAGGAGGTATGGTAAACTAGGACCCTGGCTCCTTCATACATTTATTCTGGAACAGCCATTTAGGCAAATGTATGGTATTGAAAAGAAAAAAAAGACCCATTTTTATCACAGCATATAAACTTAGATTGGTTTCTTATACTAGTTGGTTATCCACATATTAATGCACAGTAGCTGCCATTAATTTGCACATAATAAATAAAAAAAGCACCAGTCTATAAAAACAAATTACCGGTACAGTACAAAGAATACAGCATGTCTTAAGAACTGTTGTAATACATGACTTTCAGTATACTAATGTCAAGGTCATGAAATATACCAGTAGGACTGTAACAGCTGTTCAAGGTCAGACTGCCAAATTCTACCACTCTCCCTCAACTATTTCGGGTTCATCCATAGTGTAGTCTTGATCCAGATAAACAGGAGTTGAGAAGGTTCTTCCCTCCACCAACTTCTTTAGACCCTAAAATGTCCATAAAATGTCCATAAAATAAGTACATTGATAAATAGAAACCAAAATATGTGAAGCTAGTGTACCACAGTAACTGCGTTATACTTAATCCAAAATATTTGACATTTTCCAGGCTTTTTTTTTTTTACGATTTTTTTTTTATGATTTTGATATTTGATGTGCCAGGAAAAGTCAGATCTGACGCCAGTATGAAAAGTGGAAATTCACCACCTCAAACCAGAGGTTGATTTTCCATACGTTAACTTCATCACTGTAGGCGGAAGTCTACCACTTTTTTACTCCATCTCCCGCCTACCGCTTTTATTCATAAATGTACCGCTTTTCTACAAAAATCCATTATTGGTTCACTTGGGTAGTCATTTTTGAAGCCACTCATCATAAAATCTCATTAGATATTGCGTGATTTGAAATGGGAGCATTCAAGCGCTTTTTTTAATCCGATGTTTACTCAGATTTCAAGCACGTGTTTGACAACAGGTGCACAAACTCCATGATTACATTGGTTACAATAAATTTCATCACATTCCGGCTTCAAAATGCTAAATTAAGCAGCCATTAAAAGCCAAAGTAATGAGCATGAAAAAAAATATATATATATATATATATATATATATATATATATATATATTTGTATATATAATTTATGTTAAAGGTGTTTTAATTATTGCAGTGATTAATTTAGGCAATATTTACATATATATCTTCTTAAATCTGCGTAAAACAACACGTACAATGCTACCTCTTTTGAGGTCTGAATCTCCCCCTTTTTCATCACAGTAGGTTAACATGTATGGATTTTCAATACATGCTAACCAAATTAAATGACTCTCTTGTATCTTATCAACAGTACTACAAGGCTTCTAGTACTTACCAAAATTGCTCTTATTGTTCCTTTGAAATATAAATTGTCTGGTGAAAACATTTTATTAAACTGTTGAGGTTCATTTTGAATTTGTGCATTTTAAAATCTTGTGAGACCTGAATCGAAACGTGGAGTGATTTTTCTTTTAAGCAAAATTGGTGAGAACTAGAAGCATTGCACTATTGATAAGTTGTTTGACATTTAATTTGATATGCAAGCATCGAAAATTGAGTTCAGTTTGAGGTGGCTAAATTTCCACTTTTTGTAATGTCTCTGGTTCTGATGTTTTCCTGGCACATCAAATAACAAAATTGTAAAAAATGCCTGGAAAACATCAGATATATCGGACTTTGTTATACTGTGCACTTACCTCTCCAGCGTATGACACGAGAGGTGAAATCTCACACTCTACAACCACCTCCTCATCTTTTTTACTGCAATTTTGAAATTACATCTTATTACACATCCAAAAATCAGGCTTCAATTTATATAACTGTATATTGATAATCTGTTAGTTATTTAAGATTTTTTTACAGGAAATATTATATAACTCAGGTTTATGAATCTCAACATCCATTTTCTAATTTTCCACAACATCCTGAACACTTGACAAAATAAGTACATAAAATGAGAGTACATGTATTAGGATCATGCATCCCTCACATTCATCAATTGAAATACTCCTTGAAAGTGTTTGTCAAATAATCATACAATAGTCTATTCAAGAAAACATTTAAAAATACATGCATGAATACAGGTAGGTAAAAGGTATATGTTTAAAACTTTACCAGAGCTACTTGAATCTTCCAGTTTCAAATTGGTAACAACATGAAATCTCAAAATTTCACAAAACTGGTATAAATAAGAATGTTCCCCAAGAAATGTTCACCCCGTGTTACAACTGTGCTGCTGCTTTAAACAATTATCAAATTTTTTGATTCTCACAAAATTGTCTCCTCTCTTTCTGGAAGTAGCTCACTTTTAAGTCTGCCCATCGAGAATGAGAGCATGATGAACAAAAATAAATTTGGGGCAAACATTTTCAGGTTACATAGTATACAAACCGATCTCCACCACCAATATCTTCTTTTTCTGAGCTGTTAACAAACAACAAATGAGAGTGATGCATACAATGCCGCTGAAGTAAGATCTCCATAGAGGGGATGTTTTCTATACACTAATTGCTATGAAGAAGGAAGAGACTACATGTATACCAAAGAGGGCAAAATTGACTACATGGTGTACTGCTTATACACTTTTCTTCATGAGTGGGCCTTTGCTTAATTTAATGAAAGTACCGGTACACAAAAATACAGAAAAGTGAAAAAACAAGAGAAAGCAGCAAAGTACAAGTCTGGAGGATCACAGTAGTAAGACTGCACAGATTGTTTCATTTTGTATTCCTTAAATTCATAGTGTCCATGTATTCACTATTCAGTGGATAATAGATATTTAATAGATAATACTAGAAATATCTCCATAGGACATGAATGCCCCGCCGAGGGTATATTAGTAATGCAACATTTTAACACAAATTGAGAAAAGTGAGGTCAAGGTCAAAGGAAAGGTCAAAGTGAAAAAATATTGATGCAGTTGAATAGCTTACATCAGTCTGATTCAGCATATGAAGTTTGACACTAATTTAAGAAAAGTGAGGTCAAGGTCAAAGGAAAGGTCAAGGTCAAAAAATATTGATGCAGTTGGATAGCTCTCATCAGTATGTATCAGCATATGAAGTTTGACACTAATTTAAGAAAAGTGAGGTCAAGGTCAAAGGAAAGGTCAAGGTCAAAAAATGTTGATGCAGTTGCATAGTTCTCATCAATATCTATCAGCATATGAAGTTTGATAAAAATATCTTGGATAGTTTCTTTGAAACTGAGCTTTGAACAGAGCTAAATGCAAAGTGTGACGGAAGGACGGAAGACGGACATGACAAACACTATATGCCCCGGCCATATTCATGGCGGGGCATAAAAAATAGATCTTATACATACATATTAAGCATGACATGGTAAAAATGGCTGCAATGCTGGAATTCTAAGACAGTTTTGGATGTATTACTTTGATATTGCACTATGTACCTTAACACAGATTTCAGCAAGTAAACTTTTCAACAATGCAAAATCATTCAAATGCTTTATATGAGTGAACAGAAGATCCTCCAAGTTTGTCCAAACAACAGCTATTATGATTATCAGCATAAAAGCGATTTAAGATCTACATATAATATGTAAAAGATGATGGATTCAAAAGAACCATTTCTCCTTGACAATAAGCAAGCTGTACTGACATGTTAATGATACTCATTAATAGTGATGGGACATCGGTTAATTTTCATAATCGATCATCGGTTGGAATCGGTTACTGCTTCCGATGCGATTTTACCGATTATAATCGAATTTCATAGTTTTGTATACAAAAAGCACACTATTACAATTATTTCATAATAATTTAATTTTGTTTGTATTAGTGTTGTACCGATAATCAGAAAACATCGATTGTCGACGAAAAAATGTTACCGATTCCGATGATCGATTATAATTTTTCATAATTGATCATCGGAAACATACTTCTAATACAATATATTCCGAATTCTCCATTTCTGGTTTAAAATTTATTTCTTCTTAATGAAAGAATATGGCGTCTGCATCTGATACTAGCCAACTAGCACGAAGCAGAGGTTATTAAGAACCAAATGGTGCATATATAGGGCCTAAAAAAATTATGTTTGTTTACAGTAACCCGACCAACCCATTCAGTTTACCCCCGGATGGATTTTTTTTCTGCCAAATCTGTATTTGCTCTTTGGTTTGATCAATCAGCTGCTTCTTTTTATTCAAAAAATATTAATTGTATCTTTATTTGAGATATAAAATATGCAACTTAGTCAACATTTACCTTCAATATAAAGAGTAATCAATTCCCCTCACAACTTTTTGAAGTTCGTTTTCTGCCGCTAGGCAGCCATGGTGGGTGTCCACTGTAAATATAACACCTGGATAATTCAGTCCCGGGATGTTTGACTCCATAATTCATAAGCAAAAAAAAAAAAAAAAAAAAAAAAAAAAAAATTCCCGACCTACCGATCCTTAATTTTTAGCTCACCTCGACGAAGTCGAGATGAGCTTATGCTATACCCCTGGCGTCGGCGTTAGCGTTGGCGTCCCAGGTTAAAGTTTTAGGAGCAAGTCCCATTCCCAAGTAACTATAAGCCCTACCTGGACCAAACTTGCATGGATGATGCATCTAGGGATGGACACTACCAAACTTGCTTCGGATGCTGGATCTGACCTAGATTTTCCAGATGAGTGACCAGGTTAAAGTTTTAGGAGCAGGTCCATTCCTAAGTAACTATAAGCCCTACCTGGATCAAACTTGCATGGATGATGCATCTAGGGATGGACACTACCACACTTGCTTCGGATGCTGGATCTGACCTAGATTTTCCGGATGAGTGACCAGGTTAAAGTTTTAGGAGCAGGTCCATTCCCAAGTAACTGTAAGCCCTACCTTGACCAAACTTGCATGGATGATGCATCTAAGGATGGACACTACCACGCTTGCTTCAGATGCTGGATCTCACCTAGATTTTCTGGATGAGTGACCAGGTTTAAGTTTGAGGAGCAGGTCCATTCCCAAGTAACTATAAGCCCTACCTGGACCAAACTTGCATGGATGATGCATCTAGGGATGGACATGGCCACACTTACTTCGGATGCTGGATCTGACCTAGATTTTCCGGATGAGTGACCAGGTTAAAGTTTTAGGAGCAGGTCCATTCCCAAGTAACTATAAGCCCTACCTGGACCAAACTTGCATGGATGATGCATCTAGGGATGGACACTACCATGCTTGCTTCAGATGCTGGATCTGACCTAGATTTTCCAGATGAGTGACCAGGTTAAAGTTTGAGGAGCAGGTCCATTCCCAAGTAACTATAAGCCCTACCCGGACCAAACTTTCATGGATGATGCATCCAGGGATGGACACTACCACACTTGCTTCGGATGCTGGATCTGACCCAGATTTTCCACATGTGAGACCAGGTTTAGATTTAGGAGTAGTGTCGTTCCCAAGTAACTATAAGCCCTACCTGAACCAAACTTTCATGGATGATGCATCTAGGGATGTACACTAACCAACCTGCTTCGAATGCTGGATCTGACCTAGATTTTCCACATGAGTGAATTTTAGCCATATTTTAACCAAATTAGCATGGATGATGTATCTAGGGATGGACACTTCCAGACTTGCCATGGATTCTGAATCTGACGAACATTTTCCAGATGAGTGACCAGGGTAATTTTTTTGGAGTAGCTATATAATATTATGGCCTGTTATGATTAAACTTGCATAGATGGTGCATCTAAGGATGAAAACTTCCAGACTTGCTTTGGATGTTGGAACTGACCAAAATTTTCTTGATTACTAAACAGGTCAAAAGTTTTTTGAGCAGGTCTATTATTAAATCAAACTTGCATGGATATTGATCTTGGGATGTACCCTAACTAGAAAAAAATATGTGAAATTTGCCTTACATGTAGATAACATTCGTCGAGGTGAGCTTCGTAATCTTTGATTACCTATGTTTTGGGAATGTTACAGGAAACAATCAAACATAATTTTTTTAGGCCTAGGAAGTGTAAAAGAAGCAATTCAACAAAGAAAATAATATATTGTATATTTTATATATTCAAGTTAAAGAAATAATTTAGGAATGACTCTAATTCTTGGCCAAATTATTCGAGTATAACCTGGTTTGGGTCAGTTTATGCTGTTTTATAATCCGCTTCGCGGATTATAAAGCGTAAACTGACCCAAACCAGGTTATACTCGAATAATTTGGCCAAGAATTAGAGTCATTCCTTATAATTTAATTCTAAATCATTAAATAACTTTGGGTGTAAAATTTCGTTGTTTTTTAATAGTTCAAATTTGCCGCTCAATAATACAACCGTAGTAACGGAAGTAACGGAAGTGATGGGAAGCGAGGGGAGGTAAAAACTGATACATAGGCCTAGCAGCCATGTTGTTTGTTTACATGTGGTAATATCGAATTATTGTTTGAAGTTAAAGGTACATTTATTAAATCTGGAATTTTCCATGAATCCCGAGGACTGGAAATGAGAGGATTGTATGGATACAGATGATTCAGCTGGTTGTCAGGGGGGGGTGTCCCCATACCAAACCAGGTTATACAGAAATAATTTGTGTTCCTTTTTGGATATTAACCAATCAGAGGCAAGAATACAAACAAAATTAAATTATTATGAAATAATTGTAATAGTGTGCTTTTTGTATACAAAACTATGAAATTCGATTATAATTGGTAAAATCGCATCGGAAGCAGTAACCGATTCCAACCGATGATCGATTATGAAAATTAACCGATGTCCCATCACTAGTTTGTATTCTTGCCTCTGATTGGTTAACATCCAAAAAGGAACACAAATTATTTCTGTATAACCTGGTTTGGTATGGGGACCTCCCCCCCCCCCCCCCCCCCCCGACAACCAGCTGAATCATCTGTATCCATACAATCCTCTCATTTCCAGTCCTCGGGATTCATGGAAAATTCCAGATTTAATAAATGTACCTTTAACTTCAAACAATAATTCGATATTACCACATGTAAACAAACAACATGGCTGCTAGGCCTATATATCAGTTTTTACCTCCCCTCGCTTCCCATCACTTCCGTTACTACGGTTGTATTATTGAGCGGCAAATTTGAACTATTAAAAAACAACGAAATTTTACACCCAAAGTTATTTAATGATTTAAAATTAAATTATAAGGAATGACTCTAATTCTTGGCCAAATTATTCGAGTATAACCTGGTTTGGGTCAGTTTACGCTGTTTTATAATCCGCTTCGGGGATTATAAAACGTAAACTGACCCAAACCAGGTTATACTCGAATAATTTGGCCAAGAATTAGAGTCATTCCTAAATTATTTCTTTAACTTGAATATATAAAATATACAATATATTATTTTCTTTGTTGAATTGCTTCTTTTACACTTCCTAGGCCTAAAAAAATTATGTTTGATTGTTTCCTGTAACATTCCCAAAAAATCAAGGGTCGGTAGGTCGGGAATTTTTTTTTTTTTTTTTTTTTGCTTATGAATAATGGAGTCAAACATCCCAGGACTGAATTATCCAGGTGTTATATTTACAGTGGACACCCACCATGGCTGCCTAGCGGCAGAAAACGAACTTCAAAAAGTTGTGAGGGGAATGGATTACTCTTTATATTGAAGGTAAATGTTGACTAAGTTGCATATTTTATATCTCAAATAAAAGATACAATTAATATTTTTTGAATAAAAAGAAGCAGCTGATTGATCAAACCAAAGAGCAATTACAGATTTGGCAGAAAAAAATCCATCCGGGGGTAAACTGAATGGGTCGGTCGGGTTACTGTAAACAAACATAATTTTTTTAGGCCCTATATATGCACCATTTGGTTCTTAATAACCTCTGCTACGTGCTAGTTGGCTAGTATCAGATGCAGACGCCATATTCTTTCATTAAGAAGAAATAAATTTTAAACCAGAAATGGAGAATTCGGAATGTATTGTATTAGAAGTATGTTTCCGATGATCGATTATGAAAAATTATAATCGATCATCGGAATCGGTAACATTTTTTCGTCGACAATCGATGTTTTCTGATTATCGGTACAACACTACTCATTAATCTATTTTTGCCCAATTTTGGTGATAAAATGTTTCTGATTATATAAATCTACAATATGAAAGATGCAGCAGGTTTCTAAATATGTACACTATTGAACATAAGTGGGAAATGAATGCAGTGTTTAAAGTCAGTCTGTACTTAAGCATGTTGAATGAATACTTTTACACATGAAATAATAAAAAAAATTTTTTTAATGTAAACTGCATGTACCATTTATTTTATAATACTTACCTAGGTGGGAGAACATTCCCATCTTTATCCACGAATTGTGCCCCAGCATTTACCAAGTACCGGTGATGGAGATTCAGCAGCGCACGACGACATGTAGTGGGCGTGTCTTTATCAGCAGTGTCAGCATTCTTCAGGGGAGAAAACTCATCCTCACGGATAACCTCCCAAACAGCAAAACTCCTGTCACATTGAAAGAAGAACCACAAACAAAACAAGGGAAACAGCCATGCATTAAGGGAGATAAAACACAATGCATAGCAAGTTCAGATTTCAGTGAATATAAAGGAAAACAATTTTGCAGGACAGGTAGAGGGATTTTTCATAAATCATGCCAAAAATTCAAGGAACATGTATTATTTCATGCATCATGAAACAAAATGCAATGTTAGTAATAACATATGAATTGAAAATATACATACCCAAAGAGGTAACCATAATATTGGGTGAAAAAATTACATACAGTATTAGCTCAAATGTATGATGTTACAACATGTACAACCTTCAGGTGAACATTGAATTCTATGATATCTACAGTATACTGTGTTAAAATGCTTATGTGCCTTCCCATAGAACACATCCTGATTATTCTGCATGTTATATGTATTGCATTTATGTTATAATTTCTAATTTTGTCCCATCTTGAAATGATTTCTAATTCAAAGTTACATAAATAACTGCAACTGTACATATAAACACAATAAAACATGATGGTAAACTTGGTATTACTACATGTACGAGGGTTGTCCAAAAAGTTCGTGGACAATGGTGTTCTTGTCAAAATGAATGGTTCAAGATATGCTTATTGTATACCAAAATATTAGTTATGAAAATCCAAGTCGGAATAGTTTGGTTTTTATTGTTTGAACTTAATATTTTTGTAAAAATCTCGGTCATTAAAGGTCGCCGATAGTGCGCACGGACCAGGGTTAAAATGCCATGAACTTTTAAATAAAGTGAACTGATTGAAATGATTATTTTCTTTTTAAAACGAGTCAAAGCTGAATAAAAATTTAATATATCACAAATAAAGCGGTTATCGCCATTTTCTGATACCTTTAGTATTGCTTACTAAATATAGACATTGAAAATATTAAGTGAAAACCGCAAGAAGTATGTTTCAAAAATTGACAGAAAAAGCGACGTCGGCCATCCGAAAGGGACAGCGTCCAATCATACAATTATGGTTAATATTGTTGAAACGTCATCAAAAACAAAATATTTATTCAAACAACTTAAATTTATTGGAAAATATTTAGTCTAGTGATTTGTAATTGGTGTATATGATTTTTCACTGGTGTGTAAAATTTCGGAGACACTACAAGAAGTGGAAAACCACTGTTATTTGATGAAAATACGATATATTCCTGTTCATGACGTTGTTATAAATATAGCGCCGTCAGGCTGGGCTGTGCATCCTGTGTTTACAAAGTGTTAATATTGATGACGCTCGTAAATTATAGTGTATTGTTCTGAATTTTAAAATTTAAATTGATTATAATCTATACATAAATATTATTGCACACATTTGGCAATGTGGCATAAAAAAGAAAAATAGCATGCGTCTATAAACATGCGATAAAAATTCAAAATTCATATTTCTGACGTTATCATGAAATAAGCGTTACGTCAGACTGGCCCGTGCGACTTGCATATACAAAGTATTTACACCTATTATGTTCAGTAAATAGTGTGCATTGTTTTAATTTTTTGTACATTTACTCAACCTTGGTCTATATTAAGATATTATCGTACATGTTTGCCATTTCGGACTTTATAAAGAAGATTAAGCATTTGTCCACAAACTTTTTGGACAACCCTCGTATTTCCATGATCCTCTCTACAAAATTTAAATTATTGGTTACTGAATACCTTTACACCTACAAATCTTTTTTCATACTTACGTTGCAAAGTGAAAAACATCGAAGACAAATTTCTCCATTTTAATGCCATTGGGTGTGTCAGGTTTAACAGTGACTTTGCTGTCTTTGTCACTAACATGTGGAATTTTCTTTTTTGCAACATGATGCTTCATTTGTTTTTCTTGTGCTGGCCTTTGAAAATAGTAAAATAGATAATTAAATAATACAGTAGTAAAAACCCATGGGACATTATGCTAACCAGAATCATATTACTATCTTCTTGCTCTTTTCCAAATGAATAAAACTGAACGAAACCCATGGATCAAAAACTATATACACAGGCCATTTATATCAATGATTGCATCATTAATCAAATTCTTGTTTCAACAGGATTTAGTATGCATGCATATTTGATACAATAGGTGATGCTATTCTGTCCCTACCCTCAGCCAGAGACAATGACAAATCAGTACAAATGTTGCTTAAAAAAAAAAGCTCACTAAATTCTCTAGCCCTCCTGAACTTGTAAGGCCTAAGAAAAAAAAAAATATGAAGAGAGCTGCAAACTGTCTTTTTTTTCTTTTCTTTTAAATGTATTTCAAATACCTTCATGTAAAAAAAAAAGAATTGAAAACAAACTCCTACCTACCAACCCTATTTTTTTTTTATTATCATGTGATAATAAACAAACATTTTTTTTTCTTAGACCTAATGTGTTTTTCATTTAAAATACACATTTTTTATACTTCTTTCCAATATAAGAGACAAAATTTCTGTTGAGACATATTCTTACTCAGATACAAATTTCAGTAAGTCCAGAGTGAAGAAATGGTTACAAATGTTGCCGGCATTAAACACTAGTCTACCATCAGAGTCTCGTTTTTCTGCTGTTTTCCGTGTAATCTCACTGTATTCCACTACTTGATATTTTCCCTCCACTTTACACACAACCCCGACTGGCTCTGTAGGAAATGCTTTTTCTACAACCTAGAAGAGTATGTAATTTCATTATATTTTCTGCACATACTGCCATTATACTTGTATCTCAGTAAAATGAAGTTGCCTCCCTTTAACCATGAATATATTCCATAACCACTAAAACAGAAGCATGCAAAATTGTAAATTGAATATTACTGCCTCATAAACGTGTCATCTCAAATGAAATGACAAGTTTTCCATAGGGCTCAGAAGACACTTTACATTCTTTGGACCATCAATTAGGCAACAAAATGAAAATACTTGTAAACAAAGGGGATTTCAGGAGTTGCTCTAGGACAAAAGACGATCTAAATGATAATGTTTTTTATTTTTTCCATAATATCTTTTTTATTGAATCTCTATCCAGAACTTTTAAATTCTAATTTCAGGTAGTCTAAATAGAAGATGGGGTAAGATGTTGAGGTTCTTTTTCATTTCACTTTCACATTTGGCTTATTAATAACAGGTTGCGGGATATTATCTCCATCAACATTTTACAAATGTAAGCATCCTCTGATTTGAAAACTGTTTACTTTCATGAAGAAAATATACATTTCTTCACAACATGGTTACAAACGATATACAAAAAAAGAGCCTAGCTTTTGAGACATGCTAAAACACCCACCAATAATAGCTTGCATGCACATAGTTCACATGGTTAATCCAAACTTATAACAAAATATTTTTGTCACTACACATGTAGATAATACTGAAATATCAAGTGGATATGACTTATAATGTTCACATGTAAAATGAAGCAATAAAGACTGTTCCACTTTCTCACTGTAAACATACCCTTGCCCCACAGTTAGCTCCCTTGCTTAAACAGAATCCTATAAAAATTGGGTCTGCCATTTTGACCAAAATGTTGTCCACACAGTAGACATGGATGTACTTGATACCTCGCTTCTCCATGTCCTTCAAGACTCCACTGTGATTCAGTGCTCTGTACAAACCACCATTACCATCTGTCAAATACAAACAAGTCCAAAATTGTAATATATTACAAGTTTCTTTATTAAAATTCATTCCTGCCTAATATCAAAGATGAAGCATGACTAGTAAAAATGTACATTTCTTTTTAAAAGTATGTCTTTTCACAAACTTCATACCTACAAGAAATTGGGAGTTTTACCTTAATTCCGAAAAAAATGAAAGGCACATGTATATACAAAACTTAAGTTTTTCATGTAAACACCAGTTATCTCAAATTTACCTGAGATAAATTAACTAGCAAACTTCTGTGCACATTTTTTATTTAACTGCAAACCTTACCTGGAGCTAAAGCCACTTTGTGAGGTTTCTCTAAAATGATTTTTCCATCAAACCCTATGCATGGGAGGAGGTTTTGTTCAAAGAGGACAACATCATCTTCCTCTAAACCAAAATAGTTATTTTTCTTGAAGAAATCAAGGGTGGCACCCTTTGTGTGCTCACTTGTCATGATGTACCTAATAATAAATAACAATTAAGTTTTACTGTGCACTGTGTTCTCAATTAATAAAATGAGGCAAATGTTTCAAACCAGCACAAAGTATCTTAACAACACAATATAATTACTGTAGAGTGTAGACATACTTAATTTAGCAATAATCATATTTTAGTCTCTTTCACACTGGTTCTTGTATCTCCTATGTATGATTTTTAAACAAATACATATAGAAGCTTGGCTCTAAATGTGTAATTTGTGGTTATGTTTATCTGTTTACGAGACAGATTATGCTAAATTTTGAGGGCGCTAATTTATGTACGTTAACAGTACTTTTTTGATCAAATTATACAACACTTGTTCATATGTATTACAAGGGTGTTGCATCAAGTCATGTGCCTGGAAGACAATTTAAACTTGGAGTCCTTATTTAGATCAACAATTCTGATTCTGTCAGTACAACAATCAATATTTTTAAACATCTGCAGGATGTGTGTTTCTTGGCAAGACTTATAAATATGCTTCGGTTTTTGTTGAATTGACAAAATCAAAAATGAAAAGCTACCTGTAGCTGCACATGTAAAATTTAAAATTGTTTATCATGATGCCCAATCATTCTCACCATGGTATTTTACAGCTGTTTCCTGTAACAGATTCCCCGAGTCTCTGTAGCTTGAGGAGTCTCTCTGCCTGTATCTGGTATAGGGTCTTCCCTGATGGAAGTCCTACATTGTACATTCCTTTAGGATAGGGCACTCCTAGTCGAGTACCTTGTCCCCCAGCTAACAGGATGACAGCCACCCGACTCTCTCCAATCTCTGTCAGACCTAGTCAACAAAACATCTCTTTTTATTATTGAATTGCTATCTCTGCATAATATTTCTGCAATATGTGTATTTTAACAGCTATAGTGTACATGTGCAATTCATGGAGAAGAAAGATTTTTGGGGGACTCATTCCATGGGCAAGGAAGTTTTGTCACAAGTGGGGCATTTTCTGTAAAACACTGAATACTACTTAATTGTTTAATCATATTTATATGACTAATAATCACTTTAATGTATGCATGTCCACTCAATATGGTGCAAGCATAAAACTGATTTAATGCTGTATTAGTTTTGCAAGAATTACAATCTTTAGTCCATGTCATATTTCAGCTTTGTAACATCAAACAGTTCACAATCCCTCATTGTAGCTCTGTTAGATTGTACATTGGTTCCTTTGCTTGAGTAGCAGTAAATTTACCTTTCATGTAATAAGATGTCAACTGAATACCTGACCAGTGTATGTTCCTTGATAACTTTATTTACATACACCCACCCACTATATGTACATAAAGCTGGACAGTAAATCTGTCCCAAGTAAACAAACCAACTACATGTCATGTCTCATCCCAAGATTTCATTCTGCAAAAAAAATCAACAAATGGACTACAGAGTACATCTAGTACTGTAAGCATTAGTCTGTCTTGTGTCCATAGCTGGGGCTTAGGATCTCTAATTTTCACTTACTATAGCTCTAATTACTAGGTGTTGTCACTCAGATAATAGATTAAACATTATACTCTCAACTTTTACAGCAGTTCAGACATGCACAGTCAGAAAATTAAACATTTTATCCCCGTTAGCAACCTTTTGATCTTCTCCTTTACTCTGAGGTAAATGGGAAAACTTTCCCATCTTTGTAAAGTAAAAGCTGTGTTATTTAGTTAAAAATCTTCACTACACTGGAATTGGTTGAATAATCTGGCCAACAATAAAAAATAATTTGTTTGATGTACTCTGACCACCCATAAATATCACCCATTACCCGATCATTTTCTTTTCAGTACTTTAAATTTTATTTATTTATTTTTTGTTTTGTTTTCAGGGAAAGACAGATTGATATCAATTTTAAAGTTAAGGTATATCATTTCTCAATAACCCATTTTAGACTGAAAGTTTTCACAACAATAAATTTTAAATCAGTGTATAGCTGTCTCGTGTATAGATTATACACTGTATTGAAAACATTATTCAATACTAGTATTATATTTCCAAGTCTGTGATTTTTATGATGATTATCAGTGTCAGATAAAAAAAACAAAACAAAACAAAACAAAACACATTTACCTACCTACCCACCCACCTTGAAAAAATTGGTTCAAAATACATCATTTTTTTTTAAATGATGGCCTCATCAAAAGGCAAGTTCATGGTTCTAATTTTAAATAATTGAAAATGAATAAACCATAAAATAGAGGAAGTTGCATTTGTATTTCAATGATTCTGCATGATTTTATTTAGACTGCATAATCTTTTAACATGTTTAAGAATAAATTTTGAAAAGAAATATTTGTGAAAATTTGGAATTTATCTCTCTCTCTCTCTCTCTATATATATATATGTGCCATACTGCCATTTCAAAAGGTAACAGATAAAGCTGGTTAATAAAAAAAACTGGTCATAATCACACCATACACTTAAGATAAGCTTTTATTAATTTCATATACTAGTAGGTCAACAAACTAAAAACATGATTGTTATCCCAAAATAATATATCTAATAATTTTATATGGAGCTTCACGTACAGTGCTTCAGATCATTACAATTATTTTGTGACTAAAAATAGATACATATTTAATTTTAGGTGGTACTTTTAATATTCTATATATTTTTTTTATTATTTACAATGAAAATACAAGAGAAGAAGAGAATGTATGGGACATTGACTTCTGACAATCAATGCTGTCCAATCTTAAAATGAGAGAAAATATTTCAGTTAATTGTATACATCTACCCGGGCAGAACAGTCACAGTTCTAAAGTGGAACAAGGAAGAGGTTTACAACCATTTAACATGTTTAAAGACAGAAGTCTTATCAGCTGAGTCAGCAGGCAGTGCAATACACTGCACCTATACAATTCAAAAGGGGCTGACATATATTGAATTTCTCTGTCATACAGTGAACTAGGAAGTACATATGCAATCAGTTATCAACTTTTTATTGATCAGATTATGATATCAAAATTATAGAGGTAAAAATATGTAGAAATACTGTGACCTATATACAATAAAAATGATTTGATTTTAATATATGTGCCTAAGCATTTGAAACTGTTTTTTTTTTTTTTTTTGCTTCCCCAGCATGACTAAACAATTAACACCCCCCCCCCCCCATACACACACACTTTAAAAAAAAACCCAAATGGTCCCTTTTCCATCTTTTCTAGACTTAAGAATCTCAAGTATTACAACCAACCTATGGTGAAAAAAAATCTTCACAATTTACAAATACATTTTATGTGTTTGATACTGAAAATGAGATTCATGTAGAAATTTTTCCCCTATATATATATCTGTCCTTACCATCAATGTCATATTGCAGGAGGTTTTCCTCACTTGTTTCCACTACTCCTCCACAAACCTCTTTAGGCAAGGGTTCCAGCAGATCATCAAGTTTCTCTGAGGTTGAGTTCAGGTCCTCCATAGCTGTCTTAAAGAATCCATTGATTTCTTTAAAGTCTAGATGACTCAGTTCTGTATAGAGCTGATGTTTTTCTTCATCAGAGAGTTGGTCCCAATACTTTAAAAGATGTTCTTGATTAGCTTCTGTCAGACGTGCCTTCAGTCCTTCTACATCCATCTTTACTTTTAGATTTCTGTTTTACTGGAAAAGGTTTTTAATAAAGCAATAGTGAATTTTAATGCAATTAAAAGGTGATGAGCATCACACATCTCATAGCAATGTTTTAAACTTATGAAAGAGCAAATAAAACAATGTACAATCATTAAATTCATTCTAATTACATGAAACATAAAGTGAGGTCAATGGACTTTGATTGGTTAGCAATTATACCATACTACTTGAATATATACAGTATATCGTATGTGCAATATGATTTTATTTGTTTGCTTTATGTCCCTTTGAAAAATGTTTTGCTCATGTTAGGATATCACTGTTGCTGGTGGAAAGCTGCAATTTACACTTGTACTTGGCACTTATTGCCATTGAGCAGTGAGTGATCATTTTATGCCAGCATCTTCTAAAACACGGGACCTCAGCTTTACATAGGTCTCAATGGACTTGAATCTGCTAAGTGAGGATCAACTCCTTACTCTGCAATCCTAGAAAGAAGTGAGACCTTGCACCGTATGCAGTACGAAGGGAATTAAAATTTCATACAATAGTACAATACACAATTAAGCAAAAGGTGATACATCTGTCATATATTAAGTCAATAGTCAATTCATATTACTAACACCTGCCTGTTGGTATCACAGCAAAATCATGTTCGATTCTAGGAAAGGTGTAAATTCTAAGAGTTTTCAAATCTTAAGACTCTAACTAATGATAATAATGTAGGCAAGACAATTTTGCAACACATTTGTGATTGCACTTTTATGAAGAATGTCAGACGTATGCGACAAATTAACATTTTTGCGCCCTCCTAGATAGTGATCAAATCATTGTAAACTGACACAAATCCATCAATGCAATCAAACGGCGTTTTTAACATTGGTTGCCCCACTGCCTTGTTCTTTATCACTATACATTTCCTATGTTTCATTTAGCTACATACAAAGTATATTAACAATAGTTAAAGCTAAACTTACCTGTTCAACGCCTATATTATTTACAAAGGCCAGCGGTCTCCTACGTTTGCAGACGAATTTGTTTACGAGAAACTGACACGTGTAACGACAAACCCTGCGCAAGAAAAATATAGGCCCTCAAAGTGAAAGTAGGGAAAATTCTGCTTGCGTTTAGTTTTTTAAGTCTACAGTTTTCAGCATTTCTTGTACTAATCTTAAATAATTATAGTAATTTAAGAGACAATACTGATATAAATCATTAAATGATATAGAGAGGATGGGGGTAATGGGTCCACCTTCGGAAGGATCTGGGATTTTCTAGATGTTTCGACCCAAGAATGTTTCGGGGGAAATCTTTAGGCCTTTAAAAGACAATGCATGACTTTTATTCCAATATTGGTTTTATCAAGGCTATCGCTCCCCCAAAAACATGTTCCTTACAGTAAAAGAGGACATGAATATTGAACATAATAATTTTTCTCATATTTCTAGGGCTCACATGTAACGTTAGCTATTTTTTGTATTTAAAAAATGCTTTTTAATTTAATATCACATTTAGTCCAGACAACGATAAGGATAGCAATAAATATTAAAATATCTCATATTATATTTAATGTGCGAAACATATTAGGAACGTATTGCTCAAATTGGAACGCTTCCCACGTAAATAGACCGAATTTGCACATGTAATGTGATTGTGTTGCAGTGTACTGTACGCCATTATCAATGTGTTGGTAGGAATGCTAAGAAAATGAGAAGGTATTAAAAAGAATGATTGTGGGAAAAAAATGTTCATATTTTTTTTAATGATCAATTTTTTTTTCCCTAGGTTTGAAGAAAAATTGTTACCTCGTCCAAATTCATTCAATTCAATTCAATTTATTGATTCACCAAACATGTTGGCATACAACCATGTTACAAACAAAATGAAAAATACAGTGTGTTTTCAGATTACTAAAACATATACTAAAGTACATACATACATGCAAGTGTACAAATCAGTGAAGTCAACTACTTTTACAACTTGAAGTTATACATAATCATTATGCAAATAGTATAAACAGTATAATATGGACAGAGATAAACTAATTAATGCATTAAATATATATTACTGTGCTCTATTTTTAGAACGCAATTCAAAACATTCATGTAAAAATTCGCATAGCCTTCTAGAATGAACTGCATTGTCAGGATTACAAAGTACTTTACAATGATTTTCCTTCAACATGTTATCATTTAAATTATAGATGTTCAAAGGGTAATACTTTTTTTCGCAAATCTTTATATATAGGACAGTCATATATTTTAATTATTACGGACAGTCTTAGTGTGTATGTATTGGAATATGAAGAAGTATGACCTCCGACTTGTTGTTGAAATAATTTAAATTCAAATAAAATTATGTTTTGTATATTATTTTTCAGAGTAACCTGCATAATTTCCGATGACAAGCACCTGTTCTTGTCTGATTCTGGATTAATCCTTCAGAATTTACAACTAGAGGTAATTTTAAACCAGCAAAAACAGCAAACTATAAGAAATTTTAATTAAAACACATTAGCTCTGTAGGGCCAATGGATGGAGCTAATCAAAAGTTTTGCATAGAGATGTACAAATTTTTTTTTTCTTCTGAAGGACAGCAGGGAATAAATAATGTGCATTACATGGCAGTGACAACACATATCAGAAATTACTATTAGTTTTTACTCATGACTTGGCTTAGAAAATTGATTGACCTACTTTAACCAAAAAATAATAATAATAATAATAACTAGAAACTCATTACTAGTAATGAGAAGGTCTTCCGTTATACTATTTCCTGTTTGCATGAACATGTCTTTTCCAACGTCGGTATAAGCCTAAAACTGATGTATAAACAAAATAACTTTAAAAAAAATACTTTTTTCTTCATTTCCTGTCACGACCGGAAGTAATGACGACAGACGATTTTTACACGATGCAAATGAACTGATGACTGACTATAATTCCTGAAAGTTTTAGACTTCAGTCTTTTACTCGTACCGAGCAATTGTGAGAACACATTCTAATTTTGGGGACAGGAAAACACACGACCGGAAGTGAATTGAATAAAAATCTCTGAATTTTCTCATGACAATTGTAGTATCTACAGCATATGTAAAAAAAAAAAAAAAAAATTTCAAATACTTATCTGTAAGTGATATTTATGAGAAAGCTAAACATCGAAATAACGTAGTTTATCTCTTTAAACCGGAAGTTTACAGTTTTTGTTTCCGGTGGAATCTAACATATTTCAAAACACGAAATAGATGCAACAAAGTGATGCAAGTTTTAATTTTGTAAAGAAAAGTTGAAATTTTCGATTTTTTGATCACTTCCTGTGACGACCGGAAGTGACGGCTGACGCGTTTAACCCTATGTGTCTTGCCTACTTGTCAAGGTCTATTACTCATTCAAGTTTGGTGTCTTAATCTCATGCCGTTTCCGAGATCTCGCTGAGATAACTTTTCATTTTGAGGACAGGAAAAACACGCGACCGGAAGTGAATTTTACTAAGATTTTTGACGTTACTCTAGACATTTGCAGTCTGAATAACATATCTAAAAATCTTTTCAAATACTTTATCTATAAAAGATATTTAAGGGAAAGTAAAATACTCAAATTATGTAGTTTACCTCTTATAACCGGAAGTTGTCGTTTTGTTTCCGGTGGGACTGACATATTTCGAAACTACACATGAGATGCAATAATGTGATGCAAAAAAAAATTCAAAAAAGAAAAGTTGAAATTTTCGATTTCTTTGATCACTTCCTGTGACGACCGGAAGTGACGGCTGACACGCTTAACCCAAATGGGCTCGCCTACTCCTCATGATCTATTACTCTAATAAGTTTGGTGTCTTAATCTCTTACCGTTTCTGAGATCTCACTCGGAAAAAATATTTTTGAAAAAAACGGAAATCGGACATATCTGACGACCGGAAGTGAATTTTGAAAAAATGAAAAAAACGCTTCGGGGTATTTTCATTCTCTATCAACCCTGAAAATTTCAGGAAAATCCATCCAGACATCTCTGAGAAATCCTGCCGACAAAAAAAGGGGAAAATAATAATAATAATAATAACTAGAAACTCATTACTAGTAATGAGAAGGTCTTCCGTTATACTACTTCCTGTTTGCATAAACATGTCTTTTCCAACGTCGGTATAAGCCTAAAACTGATGTAGAAACAAAATAACTTTAAAAAATTACTTTTTTCTTCATTTCCTGTCACGACCGGAAGTAATGACGACAGACGATTTTTACACGATGCAAATGAACTGATGACTGACTATAAGTCCTGAAAGTTTTAGACTTCAGTCTTTTACTCTTACCGAGCAATTGTGAGAACACATTCTAATTTTGGGGACAGGAAAACACACGACCGGAAGTGAATTGAATAAAAATCTCTGAATTTTCTCATGACATTTGTAGTATCTACAGCATATGTATAAAAAAAACATTTCAAATACTTATCTTTAAGTGATATTTATGAGAAAGCTAAACATCGAAATAACGTAGTTTATCTCTTTAAACCGGAAGTTTACAGTTTTTGTTTCCGGTGGAATCTAACATATTTCAAAACACGAAAGAGATGCAACAAAGTGATGCAAGTTATAATTTTATAAAGAAAAGTTGAAATTTTCGATTTTTTGATCACTTCCTGTGACGACCGGAAGTGACGGCTGACGCGTCTAACCCTATGTGTTTTGCCTACTCCTCAAGGTCTATTACTCATTTAAGTTTGGTGTCTTAATCTCATGCCGTTTCCGAGATCTCGCTGAGATAACTTTTCATTTTGAGGACAGGAAAAACACGCGACCGGAAGTGAATTTTACTAAGATTTTTGACGTTACTCTAGACATTTGCAGTCTGAATAACATATCTAGAAATCTTTTCAAATACTTTATCTACAAAAGATATTTAAGGGAAAGTAAAATACTCAAATTATGTAGTTTTCCTCTTCTAACCGGAAGTTGTCGTTTTTGTTTCCAGTGGGACTGACATATTTCGAAACTACACATAAGATGCAATAATGTGATGCAAAAAAAAATTCAAAAAAGAAAAGTTGAAATTTTCGATTTCTTTGATCACTTCCTGTGACGACCGGAAGTGACGGCTGACACGCTTAACCCAAATGGGCTCGCCTACTCCTCATGATCTATTACTCTAATAAGTTTGGTGTCTTAATCTCTTACCGTTTCTGAGATCTCACTCGGAAAAAATATTTTTGAAAAAAACGGAAATCGGACATATCTGACGACCGGAAGTAAATTTTGAAAAAATGAAAAAAACGCCTCGGGGTATTTTCATTCTCTATCAACCCTGAAAATTTCAGGAAAATCCATCCAGTCATCTCTGAGAAATCCTGCCGACAAAAAAAGGGGGAAAAAAAAAAAAATAATAATAATAATAACTAGAAACTCATTACTAGTAATGAGAAGGTCTTCCGTTATACTACTTCCTGTTTGCATGAACATGTCTTTTCCAACGTCGGTATAAGCCTCAAACTGATGTAGAAACAAAATAACTTTAAAAAAATACTTTTTTTGCTTCATTTCCTGTCACAACCGGAAGTAATGACGACAGACGATTTTTACACGATGCAAATGAACTGATGACTGACTATAAGTCCTGAAAGTTTTAGACTTCAGTCCTTTACTCTTACCAAGCAATTCTGAGAACACATTCTAATTTTTGGGACAGGAAAACACACGACCGGAAGTAAATTGAATAAAAATCTCTTAATTTTTCTCATGACATTTGTAGTATCTACAGGATATGTAAAAATAAAAAAACATTTCAAATCTGTAAGTGATATTTATGAGAAAGCTTAACATCGAAATAACGTAGTTTATCTCTTTAAACCGGAAGTTTACAGTTTTTGTTTCCGGTGGAATCTAACATATTTCAAAACACGAAAGAGATGCAACAAAGTGATGCAAGTTTTAATTTTATAAAGAAAAGTTGAAATTTTCGATTTTTTGATCACTTCCTGTGACGACCGGAAGTGACGGCTGACGCGTCTAACCCTATGTGTTTTGCCAACTCCTCGAGGTCTATTACTCCTATAAGTTTGGTGTCTTAATCTCATGCCGTTTCCGAGATCTCGATGGGATTACTTTTCATTTTGAGGACAGGAAAAACACGCGACCGGAAGTGAATTTTACTAAGATTTTTGACGTTACTCTAGACATTTGCAGTCTGAATAACATATCTAAAAATCTTTTTAAATACTTTATCTATAAAAGATATTTAAGGGAAAGTAAAATACTCAAATTATGTAGTTTTCCTCTTCTAACCGGAAGTTGTCGTTTTTGTTTCCGGTGGGACTGATATATTTCGAAACTACACATGAGATGCAATAATGTGATGCAAAAAAAGATTCAAAAAAGAAAAGTTGAAATTTTCGATTTCTTTGATCACTTCCTGTGACGACCGGAAGTGACGGCTGACACGCTTAACCCAAATGGGCTCGCCTACTCCTCATGATCTATTACTCGTATAAGTTTGGTGTCTTAATCTCTTACCGTTTCTGAGATCTCACTCGGAAAAAATATTTTTGAAAAAAACGTAAATCGGACATATCTGACGACCGGAAGTGAATTTTGAAAAAATGAAAAAAACGCCTCGGGGTATTTTCATTCTCTATCAACCCTGAAAATTTCAGGAAAATCCATCCAGTCATCTCTGAGAAATCCTGCCGACAAAAAAAGGGGAAAAAAAAAAAAAAAATAATAATAATAATAATAATAAACAGTACAATCACTATAAGGTCTTCCGTCTGGAACGGAAGACCTTAACTAGATACTTATTGCCTAGGCAATAACAGGTCTTCCGTTTTCTTGATTCTTTTGTCAACTGTTCTGGAAAAAAAACAGAAAATGCAAAAAAAAAAAAAAGAAAAAAAAAAAAAAAAAATTCTCCCAGCATGGATCGAACTCAAAACCTTCGGGTTATAAGACCTGTGCGCTAACCACTAGACCACGTATTCCGATGAAGATGGAGGTAGTAAATTAATTGTTTAAGTTAAAAATTGGAATAAAAGCACGTGTTCTTTTGTTTGTTATGGAATGTAGTGATCAGTATTGAATAGATTGAGAAACACGATTGGTGTATAATACAATTGCAGATTTTCGGCTTAAAAAATCATTTGAGATGGTCTATATTTGGAATGCATTGAATTAATCATTCAGAGCCTATGATGCATTAGAACTGCAGTGTCGAGACTTTGTTTACAAATATATGAAAATGTCGGATCGGGTTCGGATGTGACTGAATATCCTAAAATAATAGGTAAGATTAAAATAAGCATCTCTGTGTGGACTGAATTAAATGTAAGTAGCATAAATTAAAATTTCAGATAGGGATTTTAGAAAGAAAAATGTGTCAATGAGAGCGTGAAAATTTATTTGCTAGGAAAAAATCGCTGTTTTCGACATTCATTCGATTAATATTAATTCTAAATAAAATTGATATAAATTC